ATGAGGCAGGACCATAAAAAGCATCCATATCGGAAAGGGAGAAGTGGACTGTCTTATTTGCCAGTACGTGTTCATGTATAGAGACCATTCCCTGAGCCTGTAAAATATTATCTAGTACGCAAACCCAAGTTTAGTGGAGCTGCAGAACCCAAGATCAATAGTACAAGAATTGATTCTGTTCTACATGTCAGAAACAAGCTATCTGAAATTAAAGTTTGAGATTCCATTGAGTGTATCCTGAAATTGTGAAGGGCAACATCTGAAAAATGAGTTGTATTTCTCCACATTGGGAACAAATAATCTGAAATAGAAATTTAAAATCTCATCATGTGCCCCGAATTTGGAATGAATTTGACAAAATCTGTGTAAGAAGCTTTCATTCAAAGCTCCAGGGGTGAGCACTGGGTGCTGGGGTAAGCAGGTGCCTGGGTGCTGTGGGTGAGCACTGGGTGCTGTGGGTGAGCAGGTGCCAGGGTGCTGTGGATGACCAGTTGCCTGGGTTGTGCACGTTACACGGCCTAGGAGTCCCGGCTCTGCTCCCAGATCCAGTTTCCTTTGACGTGAAGCACGCCGGGGACAGAGTTCCTGGCTCCTGGCCTCTGCAGCCCAGGCAGCCTTGGCTCTTGTAGGCATTTCAGGAGTAAACCAACAGAAGAGAGACCTTTTTTGTTTGTTTCAAATAAATAATATGTAAACATTAAAATTGCAAACAACTGCTTAAAGGAGTTAAAGAAGACCTAAATGAATGCAGAAAGTTTTCTTCATGAACACAGAACTGTGAGGACATCCCCCACGCTGAGCAGAGATTCCAGCCACTCCCTGGACAACCCCCTGAAGGGGTCCCGGAATGTTGGCTGGCGAATGCACTGGGGTGTTGGGCCCGAGTTCCCCGGGCCTGTGTTGAGCTATGTGAGAGTGGTCTCTAGGCGGAGCTGGGTCTGAGTGAGAAGGGTCCCAAGGTGTGGGGGTTCCGTGGGAGGCCATTTGCCCCGATGCTGCCGGCTGTAATCTGGTGCTGATTTTGGGGTGAGCCTGCCTTTTGCTGTGGTGTCTCCATGTGTTGACAAATGTCTTTGCAGAGAACATTCGCTTCCAGCGTCATCAGGCAAACGACCACCCTGCACTTGAGTCCTGTGGGATTTGCTTTTCTGCACCACTGTGGAGTTTGATTATTTCCAAGGGAGATTGTATTTCTCTTATAAATAAAAGCGAAAGACTGGCAGGAGGAACATTAGCTGTAGCTAAAGGAATGGACCCTGTTCCCGGTCCCGGGAGAGCACAGGAACTCCTGATAAGCTCCTGTCTCAGAAACCAGGGTGCCAAATCTCGAGCATGGGGTGGCGGCCGAGCGGGCAGCTGCACCCCATTGTGCCTCTCACGTTCTCGTCAAGACTGTTCCTTTGGTCAGACACATGGCACGGCTCTAGCCCATCTATCAAGTCATCTTGGGGACGTTTGCCAGAAGACTTTACTCCTGGATTCCGCGAAGGCAGTTTGAAATCTCTAATTACTTAATTGGAAAAAGGCAGACACTTGAGCCTGCAGCGATGTTTGGGAATTCATCTTTAAAGCCCGACAGTGAACATTAAATTGAATTATGGAGAGCGATTGGCCAAGATCCCTCTGTCCATCAGCGGGGTGGCAGTGAGAGGCGGCTGGCTGGGCTGTGTCGACTCGGAGCAGCGAGAGAGCCGGCATGTGGCTTACCTTTCGGGGGGCTTCCCAACCATTTCCTCAGTCTCTCCAGTCCCTGTCTCTCCTGCATCTTTTCCTGCCCTTCCTCTTCTCCTCCCCCTCACCAACAGGGTATGTGTTCTGAATTATTCTCAAGCATGGAGAAAGGGACAAATCAGATACCCAGTTGTCCTCCAGCAGGAACTGTGCCCCAGCTGGCTGAGCCACCAGCAGTGTTGGACACCTTGGTTGTATGGAGTCCCTGCTCCGCCCCCAGCTTCCCCTTCCTGTAGGCTGAGCTAGCCCCGTGTCTCCATTTCCCCCTAGTGTTCAGGCCGAAAACATGAGAGCAGTCCTGACTCTTGCGCTGTGATCCAAGAAGACCCTGCTGGTTCTTCCTGCCCAGGTGGCAGCTTCTCTCCCGTTCCCCTTTGCTGCTTCTCTGCAGGCTTGCCGAAGCCCCTCCTGCCCTCCCTGACTGCCAGGTCGGCTCTGCGCATGGCCCGCAGAGCCCCTTCCTGTGCTAGAGGAGCCAGCTGCCCAGTCTCCCACCCGCGGACACTGTGGGTGCTGCCGCCTTTGGGACATTTCCCTGGTCCCCTGCCGCCGTTGTCCTGTCACGGCTTTGGCCACCGACTCTGCTTGCTGCTACTCTGCAGTGCCAGGCACATCCTGTCCCCCAACTCTCTGCCCGTGCCATCCTTAACCTGCGGCCCGACTTCCCCAAGTCACCTGCCCAGTGAGGCTCCACCTGGCCACCACCCGCGTGCTTTGCCAGCCTCCTGCCCCGGGCACCCACCAACCTGCAGGCGCTTCATACTTCACATAGCTTCAAGTGAGTCTTGCTCACTATCTGCCAGGGACGGCTCTAGCTTGGTCTAGCCCTGGCAGTTGGGTAGCCACAGGCATGGCTCTTGCTCGGTCTAGCCCTGGCAGTTGGGTAGCCACAGGCATGGCTCTTGCTCGGTCTAGCCCTGACAGTTGGGTAGCCACAGGCATGGCTCTTGCTCGGTCTAGCCCTGGCAGTTGCGTAGCCACTTGTAGAGTGAATCAGTGGATGAAAGCATACTCTCTGCTTTTCAAATAAAAGAAATATTTTTTGAAGATAGCGTTATTGGGGGCCTGGCGCAATGGCTTACTGGCTAAATCCTCACTTTACATGTGCCAGGGTCCCATATGGGTGCCCCTCTGGCCCCTCTGCTTCCCATCTTTGTGCTCCCTGCTCACAAGCCTGGGAAAGCAGTCGAGGACGGCCCAAAGCCTTGAGACCCTGCATCTGTGTGGGAGACCCAGAAGAAGCTCTTGGCTCCTGGCTTTGGATTGGCTCATCTCCATCTGTTGTGGCTACTTGGGGAGTGAATTAGTGGACGGAAGATCTTTCTTCTGTCTCCTCTCTGTAGATCTGCTTTTCCAATAAAAAATAAATAAATGTTTTTTTAAAATGGCATTATCTCATATATGAAACTTGTCTTAGGTACTCAATTTCTTTTTAACCATGCACCTGTCTTAACACTGTCGATCTAGTTTAGTACTTTACTTTTTTTTTCTATTAAAGTTATACTTGTATGTAGTTTTTGAGGAGAAAGAAAAACTATACCATAGCCGTTCCTTGGCCTCTGGCTTTTGTCCACAGCTTCTCTTTCCACTTTGAACACGCCTGGCTATTTCTTGGATTGCCCTATCTGTTTCTGAATGCTAATGCTCTTGTTGTTGGTTCTTCAGCTTGAAACGCTGTGACCCCTGGTAAGGAAGAAAGGAGCCGTGCTCACTGAACAGCCGTTGGAGGCTGCCCCGGCCTCCGGCCTCCGGCCTTCTAGGCTGCCCCCCACCCACCCCCCGCCTCCGGCCTCCTTGAATTCAGGTTTCACCGGCTCCCAGGAGCGGAGCTGTCAGAACTTGGAGCCTTGCATGTCTGAGAGCCCCGGCATGCGGCAGCGGCAGTTCACATTTTCTCACCTTTAATGGGAGGGCTGCTGTGAGATCAGGTGCGTGGATGTGCACACCAAGTTTCTCTCTAAGTCAGGGAAAGAACACCTGCCCTTCCTGTTGTTGCGAGCCTGAGGTCAGGGGTCTGCTGTTCAGAGCTGCGTCCACGGCCACCAGCAGTGGGGCTCCAGGTAGGCACGAGCCTGTGGGACTGTGTGCTGTGCAGAAGACACCTCTCTCATCTCCATCTCGTGAGCCTGGCCAGAAACAGTGGGAGGCATGGAGCTACCCCTTACCCCACCCCACTGTGCTGGGGCAGGTGCTGTGCCTGCTGTCCCTGGGGACCCACTCTCCATCCTGTCGTGGCCCGAGGGCGGGGGCTGACACTGTGGGGCATTTGGAAGTGCTAGGCGCTGGGCCTGCCTGCCGTTGGATTAGAGCTCTCCAGCTGCGTGGAATTCAGACCTTGCTGGGGTTGCTGCTGAAAAGCTTGGCCCAGCCCCTTCCACCTGGCTCTCAGAATGTGCAGCTCTGCACTTGGGATCTGTATGCATTTTCCGGAAGTCATGCAGGGTGTGTAGGGCTTTTCCCATGAACCTCATTTTGCTCATGGGAATCACCTGGGTAGGCTACCCCTCCTGACAGAGGACAGCTGGGAGGTCGGTGCTTGCTTTAACCTTGTTGTAAACACAGGTGCGGCGGGTATGTTTTCACATCTCACCCATGGATGCTGGCGCTGAGCAGCATCCTCTGTAGGTGGGCATCGAGCATAGGATGTCTGGGACCTCTCTGGAGGCCAGCAAGTGTGAAGGCCTGAGTGGGTGAGTGGCCAACATAGGAACTGCTATTTTCTTTTTCTTAAAGAGTTATTTATTTTTTTTATTACAAAGTCAGATTAACAGAGAGGAGGAGAGACAGAGAGGAAGATCTTCCATCTGCTGATTCATTCCCCAAGCGGCCACAATGGTCGGAGCTGCACTGCACTGATCCGAAGTCAGGAGTCAGGAGCATCTTTCAGGTCTCCCGCACAGGTGCAGGGTCCAAAGGCTTTGAGTCTTTCTCAACTGCTTTCCCAGGCCACAAGCAGGGAGCTGGAAGGGAAGTGGGGCTGCCGGGATTAGAACCAGCGGCCATAGGGGATCCCATCACGTGAAAGGTGAGGACTCTATCTGCTAGGCTATCGTGCTGGGCCCAGGAAGTGCTGTTGTTTTAACCTCAGAGGGAAAAAAAGTTTGGCAAGAGCGCGCTCCTCCTGGCCTATCCCCCAGCCTTTACATTTTTGTAAGGAAAAGCTTTGATGATGAAGAATAGGAACTCTGATGCCCTGCAAGCTCTTCTCCCTGTGCAGAGCAGAAGGTGAGGCCTGTGGCCACTTTGGGTGCTTTCTGTTTCCCTTGCAGGTGTGGAATGCCGTGGACTCAGGGCGTTGCTTGCAGACCTACTCCCTGCACAGTGAGGCTGTTCGGGCCGCCCGCTGGGCTCCCTGTGGCCGACGTATCCTCAGTGGTGGCTTTGACTTCGCCCTGCACCTAACAGACCTCGAAACAGGTGTGTTCCTCTGTGTCGCTGCTCTCAGGTGAACCTTGGGAAAGGTTCTTGGTGGATCTATGGCCCTGAGACATGGAAGATTTTGGCGCGGTGGGCAAGGGAATCCAAGACAGTGCTCTCTGGGCTCTGTTTCCAGGCCACCTGCCAGTAGGGACCAGGGTTTCTCAGGAGCCAGCCGGGAGAATAGAACCCCAAGGTTGTCTCTGTTCCAAGCTGCAGGGCTGGAGGAAGACGTGGCTTGTTAATCAACTTCTGACATGCCGTTCGTTCTGGAATTGATTTAACTTTATCACGGTGTCCTGTAGTTGGAATCGGTTTCGAATCCCTGTCAATTCATTATCATTGCAAGGCTGTAAGGAATGATTCTATCTCACAAGGAAAGGCTTCAAAAAAGTTCTGCTTTAGCGCCCGTAGACAGTGTGTTTGGTAAACTCTAAGGGGACTCCTGACAAGCAGGGCAAGAAGAGAGAAGTCAGATGGGAACAAGTTTCCCCTCCCCGGGCACCCTGTGCAAATAGCCCGGCTGGGCCCTGCTCTCACCATTCCTCCCAGGCCCTCTTGCCCAGGCTTACGGGAGAGGATGGGCTAGGGACTCTTGGAGCCTCATGTTCCCAGCAGCTGCTCAGTCAGCACCCACATAGCCCGCTGTTTCCAGGCTCCTTGGCCACTTTTCTGCTGAGCCATTCTCCAGGGCTTCTCTTGAGCCCCCAGTTCCAACAGCTGTCCGCTGTCTAGTGGTGAGGGGATAATTCCAGGGCCCACCTGTGGGAATCATCCCCAGCCAGCTGCAGGGGTGTGGGTGGAAATGCAGTGAAATGATTGGGATAATTATGGGATTTGCACAATCAGACGAGATGGGACAAGAGAGTGGTCCCAGAGCCATCCTTGCCAGCACTGGGGCTCTTGCACTCAGTCTGCGCCATCCTCACCAAGGTTGGTGGCTGTAGTTGCGCCCACCTTCCAGGTGAGGCAACTGAGGCTCCGAGTGCTGAGGGCACCTGACCAGGACCCCCTGCCTCCCTCCCAGGGTGCAACTGTGCAGCTGGAGACCTGGAGCTCTGCCTGCAGTGCTGAGCAGTCAGCGGAGTTGCCTTGTGGGGTCTTCCCCTGACCCTGTGGTCCTGCTGACCTTCTGCCCTGCCAAGAGCCTGCTGGGGCTCAGGGAGTTTGGTGCTGCCTGGCAGGGCCGCTTGGGCTCGTGCTGGTGGGAGCGGCTGCTTACCTCCGTGTGTGGGGAGCCCTGCTCTGTTACTTTCCTTCCTGGCTCATTCAGCCTGCCTATGCCATGAGTCTGTCAGTGTTGGGGCTACCTCGCCACAGGGCTCACTACCCTTGCTACCTCATGTGCCTCAGAAGCCATGCTCACTGCAGGAGGCACTGGAGCATGCCCTTCCCAGTGAGCAAGACTCAGGCGTTGCAGGAACATCAGGCCTGGGAAGTCAAGGAAGTTTCCATGTCCCCAAGAGGTGAGGCCCAAGCTGATCCAGGTGCTGGCTGGACAAATCAGGGTGGCTGGGCACTCTGCTGGTAGAGCAGCAAAGGCAGAGTTGGCAGAGGAGCAGGATGCCACATGGAGGATGCCACGAAGCAGTGTAGGAGACAAGCTCCACTACCTGTGGGTCCCCAGAGTGGGAGGCGGTGCTGTCAGGTACTCATGTCAAGTGCATTGGGTAACAGTCATGGATTCATAGTGGGCTTTTCTCCTTCTCTGCTCTCTGTGTGTGTGTCTGTCTTTGGGAGGAGGCTTCTTCAATTTTCAGACTTTCAAAGAAGACCCCTTCTGCACAGTGAAGGACTGGTTCAACCTGTGGCATGAGAAGCCATTGCTAAGTTTTGCAGCAGGAGAGGTTTATGGGTACTTTGGACAAGTCCCCTGGGAGCTCGAGCTGGTAACATATGGCCACGGTGACATGCGTGGAGGGGCTGGGAAGTGCTTTGCCCAGCGGTGCTGGAGTTGCGGCTGGTGGGCCACTTTTTGGGCTGTGGGCTCATCTGTGGGTTTGGTTTAATGTAGTCAGCAGGTACTTGTTGCTCACCTGCCATGTGCAGAGCCTTGGCCTGGGATTACAGGAGAGTGGTGGGTATGCCATGTCTTCCAGCAAGGGTGTGGTTGAGGGGTTTGGACTCCCATCCCCGCCATGGCTGGTTGTTGCATTCTGCCTTCCGGGGCTTGGGTGGCTGCCCCTGGAGGATAGGGCCTGTCCTGGTTGTCTCCATATCACCTATCAACTGGCCTCAGCCTGGTTAGTGTGTGTGTGTGTGTGTGTGTGTGTGTGTGTGCACACAACTGGCCTCAGCCTGGTTAGGGTGTGTGTGTGTGTGTGTGTGTGTGTGCACACAACTGGCCTCAGCCTGGTTAGTGTGTGTGTGTGTGTGTGTGCACACAACTGGCCTCAGCCTGGTTAGGGTGTGTATGTGTGTGTGCACACAACTGGCCTCAGCCTGGTTAGTGTGTGTGTGTGCACACAACTGGCCTCAGCCTGTTGGGGTGTGTGTGCACGTGTGGGGGGGACAAGGCAGTGCTGAGTATGGCCCTTGCTGCATGCCCCCCAAAGGATGTGAAGCCCCCTGGGGTGAGGAGGGCTGGGCCTGCATCCCCCATCCCCTCCACCCGTCTCTGCATGCCGGCAGTCCCTTGCCCCGCACACCCAGGCTTTTCTGGCTGCTCTCTGGCTCGGGGTGGGCCTCGCAGCCTTGCTGACGGCCTCCTGCTCCGGCAGTCTCGTCCTTTCCCTTCCCAGAGGCTCATCTTCATTTTTACTTGATCGGCCTTTTTCCGCCCATGGTGATTTGGCTTTTTCATTTCAATCTAATTAGAACTCCCTGCCAGGAGAAGGCCACACGGGGCATTGTCACCACGGTGCGCTGGGAATTAGTCACTCGGTGCCCATTGTCGTTAATGGGGATTTGGCGCCAAGGCCATTTATCCTGGTGTCCTCAATCAATACAGTTAAAAATCTGTGGATTCTAAAATGTCAATACCCGGACTGAAATATGGAGGAGCAGCAGCATTTTATCTCGTTAATTTATAGTTCTGACAGGGTGTTGGCTTATAGAACAACCATGAATCAACACTTAAATAAAATCTGCTCACAGATTAATTATTTGGTGCCCCTGTTTCAGCGTGTAGTCTTCCTAACATGCCACCTGGAGTGGGAGCTGAGCTGGCCTCAGCGAGCGCGGGCTGACGCCACCAGGCCCGAGTGTCGCCTGCTGCATGAGTCACCTGCTCCACACACCCGTCAGCCCTTCTCCTTCAATCCCCCATGGAGGGTGCTTCTTCCTTACTCCATTTCCTTCCTCCCCGTGCCCACCCCCAGCCCGCTGGGAATGCTGTCTGTGACAAGGGATGCTGAGCCTGGCAGCCCAGGAGCCCTGGTGACTGACTGCGCAGCTGCCTGGGTGATCTGTGCCATCCAGCTGGGTTATCTCTGCTGTGCCTCTGACCCCCTTGCTCCTGAGTAATAGTGTAACAGCAGGCAGGGGTGGGGTGCAGGGTGTGCTCCTCCATCTCCTTAATTTTGACAGGCAGAGAGTGTCCCCGCACTGCCACCTCCATGTCTGTGCCAGGCTGGAGGAGGGAGAAGAGGCCTTGGAACATGCAGGTCCTCTGCAAAAGGCTGTGTCCTTTGCTGCCTTCCCAGCATGAGGCTTGGCGCCACAAGTAGGTCTCAGACACCAAGGAGAGGCCTCAAGCCTTCGGGATTCCTCCTGGTCTCTGTACTGGGGAGCAGCTTCCTTCTGGTGAGCCTGCTTGGGTGTAGGAACACCCACAGCTTGTCCTGCGGTCCTTAGCGCTAAGCTGGCCCCTTCGCTCTGGGTATGCCCTTGTCTTTTGATAGTGTGGACATGAGCGGCCTCCCGCTCCACAAATGCCCGTTCCTCCCCTAATTCTCTGACCAACATCTTACCACACCTACCTGACCTGGGTTTGGTCTCTGGAGTCTCTTATCATGGAATTTCTCCATAAGAAAATGACAGGCTATCTGTGCCTTGCAGTGTGGGCCAGGCTCTGGTTTCCAGCACCTGCCTGGCCCGCATTAAGTGGAAGTGGCTGAGTGGATGTCAGAGCCTGGGGCTACGGGGCACGCTTAGTCTCCCCACTGGCCTGCAAGGGGAATTTTTATCTCCACCTCACTTGTGTGGGCATTGAGGCTCAGAATGTCTGCTGACTTCCTTTGAGCCCACCCAGCCAGCAGAGACAAGCTGGGTCTAGCTCAGGCTGTAGCTCCCCATCACTCCTGTTTCCCTGCTGTGGACAGCCTGCTTGGCCTGGCTCGTGGGAGCCTGCATGGCTTTTGGCAGGCAGTGGCTCACCACCACCTGCAGAGGCTGACGAGAGGCCTCTGGGGAGAAGGCGTGCCCCAGGCCCTTCTCCGCTGAGCCTCTGATGAAGTGACCAGCTGAAGGGTGCCTCTCCAGCCGGTGACAGCCGGGCTGCGGTGGGAGCAGCACTAGCCCTGATGACTTCAGCCTGCTTGGCACAGGAAGGGCGAGCAGCGTCCAAATGAAACCTGTGGCGCCTGCCCAGGAACTTGTGGGGCTCTGAAGAGGGGGCTGCAGGAGGAGGCTATGCTTGTTCTAAGCCCCGAAGGGGAAGTACCGTGGGAGGCCCAGGCATTCCAGCACATTCAGGAGACCCTAGTTAAGTCCTTCCTGTGCCCCTGGTGACCACACGTCTCTAGTGGGTGAGTGAGAGGTCAGAGCTTTGGGTGCTTTTCCCTGTTTGCTTGTTGAGTCCAGAAGCAGAGGCTGCAAGGTGGTCATGCCATGGCCCCAGGATGGGAGTCTGATGCTGGCTCTCATGGGCTGTGCTTTGGGGACCTCCTTGCCTGGTGAGCACCTGTGCACCCACTCCGGGGGCCCTGCAGCATCTTCTGGTCATCTGCAACCCTGCTTTCCCCTAACCTCTGACTGCCCTGCCACCAGCTCCCCTTCCTGGGCCTCTCGTGAACAGGCCTGTTGCCAGTGGCTGCAAGGCCAGTTTCTGCTGTCACGTA